GTTCTATCTATCTATCTATCTATCTATCTATCTATCTATCTATCTATCTATCTATCTATCATTATTATATTTCCTGCTTCGTTTCCTGTAGAACCGAGTCCAAACTATGGTCCTTAGGCCCTATAGGAGAATTATCATTTAATTGATAGCACTTTTCTTAGTATATGGGATTTTCCTAGTAGGGCCATCTTCTGGGCAACTTGTATGTTGATATTAACTGGAACACTGTTAATAAAATTGTCCATTCCTTTTCTCACGAGACCCAGAGCTCCGTTTATTATTGGTACAGTCTCAGGCTTCATTCCTCACATCCTGTTAATCTCGATCTCCAGGTCCTTGTATCGGGACAATTTCTCGATAATTTTCATGGAGGTGTTTCTCTCAGATGGTATTGCCATGTCTATAAGCATACACTTCTTGAATTTCTTGTCTTTTATAATATCAGGTCTGTTGGCTTTTTGGATTGGCATATCCCAGAGGATAGTTACATCGTTATTTTGAGTAACTGTGTCTGGTTGGTGGTCATACCATCTCTCAGTGGTTTCGATTTTGTGCTTCTTGCATATCTTCCAGTGCACATATGTCACTACCTCTTTATGTCTGTAGGTATATTCATTTTTTTTTATAGTTCCGGACATCCTGGGATAATAGGATCAACAGTTTCATCATATTTTTTTCATTATCCTGCATTTCGGGTTAGTTTCTTCCATTATTATTATTATTATTTTCTTGGATTTCTGTTGTATATTATTATTATTATTATTAGTAGTAGTAGTAGTAGTATTTCCTTGGATTTCTGTTGTATATATATTTATTTTCTGTCCTAACCAGAAACTTAAGGTCAGAGATGGCTTCATGGCATTTTCCACTGATAATTTTTTTGTAAAAGAAAAAAAAATAGACACATTTTGAATAAATAAAGCTCTTCATAAAGTGTCAGCTGAACTTGTGAGTACATTTTTTTGTATTTCCTTAAGGCGTGGGCTATCAATTATTATTATTATTAACACTTAAGAGAGGAGCGCGACGTAAAAAAAAGAAAAGAAAGTGTTTGACCATGTTCAACAATTGTTAAACAGTGTATTTTCGTTTTCTTTTTAAGTGTTGAAAAATATTGGAAGCGCCACGTCAATCATTTTGTTTATTATTATTATTATTTTCTTTGATTTCTGGCGTTTACACATTTCTTTCCGGGTCTCGCCCAGGGATCTAAGGTTAGAAATGGCGTCATGACACTTTCCACTGACAAAAAAAAAAAAAAAATGACATAGAAAGCCCTTCGTAAAGTGTGGGCTGTACTTGTCAGAAAAATTTTTTGTATCTCCTTGAGGCATGGATTTCCAGGAATCCCTTCAATTAGTCTACTGCAATCTTTTCCAACCAGTCCTAGGGCTCCAACTACAACAGGGATTGTTGATGTTCCCATATGCCACATTTTTGAGATTTCTATTTCAAGGTCCTTGTATTTTGACAACTTTTTGAAGATCTTCAAAGATACACTGCAGTCAGCAGGGACTGCCCTATCAATAAGGAGGCGCCGTTTTTGTGTTTTGTTATTATTATTATTATTATTCATGCATTTGTATGTTTACACCGTAATGATTATCTCCGGTAATTGATTGACAGCCATGTCAATATTCCAGGTGTTCTTAACAGGGAATGATTTTGTTTCTTCCTGAAATCACCTCTCTTTTGTACAACAACAATAGGCACTAATGTCACCTTCACGTTCTATAATTTTTACAGTCCTCTTGCGATAACTGTATAATTATTCAAATATTTCGTGGAGGGTACTTTTTGACATAAATACTGAATTACTAACATTAGATCCTCGAAAAAATGCTTATTTATTTCTACAACTAGTACGCAAAGTTAAATAATATTCCCTCGTTTCATTTCGTATATAAAATTACATTACAAATGGTGTGGAAAACTTATCAGCCAGAAGTAATTTCACCCTAAAATTCATATATTTGTTCATTTAGTCAGATATTTCAACGCCGCTGCGTACAACCAACACAGATTTCTAATATTCACAACATGTTTTATTACCTCACACAATTGGGGATAAAGATGAAGCGTCTAACTGGCGCTAATTATCAATTGTATGTCTATTTAACCCTCTGTGCTCTGACCACCGCTTTACCGGTGGTAGAAAAAAATGACATAATGCCCAGCCATCGGTTGAACAGTGGTAGACGAAAAGTGAATTAATGCCCAGCCAAACAGGTTGAAAAAACGTAATGCCCAGCCACCGGTTGAACGGTTGTAAACACCGGTTGAACAGGTTAACGAAAAATGACGTAATGCCCAGCCAATTAGTGTTTTACGTAATGCCCAACCGGTTGAAACATTAACGAAAATACTAATTATTCACCGGTTGAACAATTTTAACGAAAAAGGAGTTCAGCCACCGGTTGAACAGAAGATTTAAAATTGTTCAGGAAGTGCGGGGCTCAAAATGTTAAGTGTTAACGAAAAATGACGTAATGCCCAGCCATCGGTTGAACAGTGTTAACGAAAAATGACGTAATGCCCAGCCACCGGTTGAACAGTGTTAACGAAAAATGACGTAATGCCCAGCCATCGGTTGAACTATTCTAATGAAGGGTTGAAAGTGTTAACAGTAATAATCGGTTGAAATTGTTAACGAAAATGTAACAGCCATCGGTTGAAAAAAGAAAATGACGTAAAAATTAGTGTTAACGTCACCAGCCACCGGTTGAACAGTTTAACGAAAAATGAAAATCAGTAGGTGAACAGTGTTAACGAAAAATGAATAATGCCCAGCCATCGGTTGAACAGTTTAACGAAAAATTAATGCCCAGACACGGTTGAACAGTGTTAAAAAAATGACGTAATGCCCAGCCATCGGTTGAACAGTGTTAACGAAAATGACGTAACACACGGTTGAACAGTGTTAACGAAAAAATGACGTAATGCCCAGCCATCGGTTGAACAGTGTTAACAAACACACGTAACACACACACAGTGTTAACGAAACACACGTAACCCAGCCACGGTTGAACAGACACTCACAGACAGACACACGGTTGAACACAATGCCCAGAAACAGGTTGAACGGTGGGTAAACACACACACATTACATACTAATTACGAATTTTAACAGACAGGCAGAAGATTTAAAATTGTTCAGGAACGCGGGACACACACACAAACACACACAGACACACAAACAGATCTATTCTAACAGACAGAAAACAGTAACACAAACACGTTACAAAACACACACACACAACACACACACAGACAAATCAGTAAATTAACAGACATCTGATTTAAAACATCTCACACTATAATTAATGACACAAACACACACACACACACACAGACACACACACACACACACACAGACACACACACACACACACACAGACTCACAGACACACACACACACACACACACAGACAGACACACACACACACACACACACACACACACACACACACACACACACACACAGGGGGAAGATCCATTCAAACAGATCCTACTCAAGAAGTGTTAGGTTGAGGAAGTGATTCCTGAAAGGATGATTTCTCGATCATTACAATCTTAACGTCTTTAGGCCAAGGGTGAACTATTATCTGCTTTACATATTCTCATCAGATGCACCTATTGGTAATTCCTTATACGCCCTTCCAAAAATCTGATTTAGCAACCTTCTACTTTGAGTGGCTCTTAAGCCTTGCGTTGGGTGAACAGTAGTATAAACGCGAACACACACATACACATATATATGAATATGAATAAAGACAAAATAAATATAAACAATATATATATATATACAATATATATATATATATATATATATATATATATATATATATATATATATATAAAATATGTATACATATACACAAAATATGTATACACAAATTACATTGTTCGGACTGTTATCCCCATCTTTATTGTCAGCAAATTGTGTAAATAGTTACAAAAAAATATATATATATATATATATATATATATATATATATATATATATATATATATATATATATATATATTTCAATTAAAAGGTGTAAATATAATTTATATTCTCTTATTGCTATATTTGTACAAAAATGCAGAACCTTAAAATTTAAATTCAAACTCAGCGTTGCGACCGCACGTTCCAAAACAATAACACATTTCACATAGTATTTTTTCGGATTACATCTCTATTTTCGTTGTCCTCTTATTACTGAGAAGTACAAACAAGAACAAAATCTACTTTCATACCTGATGATGTCTGTAGGAACAGACAAACGCTTGTAAAAAATTACAAAGACCTTATGCAACTGGAATTTATAAACGGAGATTATCATTCATATACAATTTCTGGGTTGGTGTATCTTATTTATATTGTTTGCGACGAAGTATTCTCGCCATTTAAATCATTAACCTCTATATTTGTTTTTTGTATGAATGATTCATGAATATATATATATATATATATATATATATATATATATATATATATATATATATATATATATGTCCGATGCAATGAGAACGAAAATAATATATAAATTCTAATGTTCAAAGCATTAATTCAAAAAAGGGATTCTTTTTGGAAAAAAAGTCTCTGTATGTGTGCGTGTAAAAATTCTTACCATAACAATTCCTGCCACTGAAAATTAAAAAAAAAAATTAAAAAAAGTATTTAGTAAAATGTAAAACTAAGTAACCGTGAACAAATCAATTATGTCCAGAAAATAAAAAAACTTATGCGAACACAATAAAAATCAAAAGCATAACCGCAGTACCTTGTCAGTCGTCTTTAATGCAATCTATATATATATATATATATATATATATATATATATATAGAGAGAGAGAGAGAGAGAGAGACAGACAGACAAATAAAGAACAGAATCAGGTAGATGGATAAAAATATTAGATGATAGATAGATGAAGAACATAACTAGATAGATAGAAATATATATATATAATTAGATAGATAAGGAACATAATTAGATAAATTATTGTAAAAATAGAAAAGTGGCATCCAGGTTATAATAAGCAATAGACATTTCACTCAATGCAGTCACCCTCAGCGTCTACCACGGCCTTGATCCAACACCGGAA